ATATCCTTTAGAGTTGGACACACTTCATCATCCTCAACCAGAGGAAAGGAGATAATGTCCACAGTGCTGTGAGACAGCCAGCGGTGCTTAAATTCCCTGTTTCACTGAGCCATGTTAACAGAGAGTCATGTGGATGATTACAGAGACCAGAGGGAGACGGTCTTTTGTGTGAAACAGCACCATGAGAGAACAAGAGGGGAAGCAGCAGACACCTTCAGTCGTAAATTTCTGGATCTGTGAAACTGTTTAATTGCAACAGATCAACATTAGGTTTAGATTGGATCTTTCTGGCACTGCAGCTGTCCTTTCAAATGTGTTGTTCAGGTCATTTAAAGTTTGGCTGTGTTCTGAGCAGATAGCATCACACCAGCAGCAGAATTATATCAGTTTGGAGAAAAAAGTTCTTAAGATGACTTAAATCCACAACTACAGAATACGCCCTGTTTCCTGCTAATTCACTAAATAGCGTTAGCTGTGCGCTGCTAAAACATCCTGTATAATCTGGCTCATATTGCCGTTAACTTCCTTGGAAAAGGAGCACATTTTGAAGCAGAATGTGCTCATTTTAGGTCTCTAATTGTTGTTCCTTGTCGGACCTTTTGTCAGCAGAAAGCATTCAGCATGCTTGATGGAAGCACTCCCGTTGATACTAGTGACATAAATTACAGCTGCATCATGCAAAAGTAACGGTGTTCATAAATACTTAAAACAGTGTTTGCTGAAGCGTGTAGGACATTTATTTTTGTTTTAGTGGGGGTCTTGACCGGGTCAAGCAGCTATTGTTAGCTAGGTTCCACCAGGAGAAATTATCCCTGATTCTTGTCTGCTGCAGGTAAGATGCTGACTCAATTACTTAAAATAATATTACTTAAAATCCTCAAACAATTTCTTTCCCGGCTCTTGGAGAGTACAGGTGCTGGCCAGTAAATTAGAATATCATCAAAAGGTTGAAAATATTTCAGTAATTCCATTCAAAACGTGAAACTTGTACATTATATTCATGCAATGCACACAGACCAATGTATTTCCAATGTTCATTACATTTAAATTTGATATTCATAAGTGACAACTAATGAAAACTCCAAATTTGGTATCTCAAAAAATTAGAATATTCTGAAAAGGCTGAATATAGAAGACACCTGCTGCCACTCTAATCAGCTGATTTACTCAAAACACCTGCAAAGGCCTTTAAAAGGTCCCTCAGTCTTGTTTTGAAGGCACCACAATCATGGGGAAGACTTCTGACTTAACAGCTGTCCAAAAGACAATCATTGACACCTTGCACAAGGAGGGCAAGACACAAAAGGTGATTGCTAAAGAAGCTGGCTGTTCGCAGAGCTCTGTGTCCAAGCACATTAACAGACAGGCGAAGGGACGGAAAAAATGTGGTAGGAAAAAGTGTACAAGCTCTAGGGATAACCGCACCCTGCAGAGAATTGTGACGACAAACCCATTCAAAAATGTGGGGGAGATCCACAAAGAGTGGACTGCAGCTGGAGTCAGCGCTTCAAGAACCACCACGAGGAGACTCATGAAAGACATGGGATTCAGGTGTCGCATTCCGTGTGTCAAGCCACTCTTGAACAAGAAACAGCGCAAGAAGCGTCTCGCCTGGGCCAAGGACAAAAAGGACTGGACTGATGCTGAGTGGTCCAAAGTTATGTTTTCTGATGAAAGCAAGTTCTGCATTTCCTTTGGAAATCAAGGACCCAGAGTCTGGAGGAAGAGCGGAGAAGCACAGAATCCACGTTGCATGAGGTCCAGTGTAAAGTTTCCACCGTCAGTGATGGTGTGGGGTGCCATGTCATCTGCCGGTGTTGGCCCACTCTGTTTCCTGAGGTCCAGGGTCAATGCAGCCGTCTACCAGGAAGTTTTAGAGCACTTCATGCTTCCTGCTGCTGACCAACTTTATGGGGATGCAGACTTCACCTTTCAACAGGACTTGGCACCTGCACACAGTGCCAAAACCACCAGCACCTGGTTCAAGGACCATGGTATCCCTGTCCTTGATTGGCCAGCAAACTCGCCTGACCTTAACCCCATAGAAAATCTATGGGGTATTGTGAAGCGGAGGATGCAATACGCTAGACCCAACAATGCAGAGGAGCTGAAGACGACTATCAGAGCAACCTGGGCTCTCATAACACCTGAGCAGTGCCACAGACTGATCGAGTCCATGCCACGCCGCATTACTGCAGTTATTGAGGCAAAAGGAGCCCCGACTAAGTATTGAGTGCTATACATGCACATTCTTTTCATGTTCATTCTTTTCAGTTGGCCAACATTAGAGAAACAAACATTTTTTCATTGGCCTTTAGAATATTCTAATTTTCTGAGATACCAGATTTGATGTTTTCATTGGTTGTCACCTATAAATATCAAAATTAAACGTAATAAACATCGGAAATACATTGGTCTGTGTGCATTGCATGAATATAATGTACAAGTTTCACGTTTTGAATGGAATTACTGAAATATTTTCAACCTTTTGATGATATTCTAATTTACTGGCCAGCACCTGTACAGACGCTTTTTTCTCCTCTCCCTCCCTGCTCCTCCCAAGGCTCTCTGTCCTGTCTGCCTGTGTACGGCGCTTCTCTGCATTTTTCTGGAAACAGGAAATTATTAAAAATGGATCTGGTCTGTTGGTCTCTCAACACGATTGACAAAATCTTTTCAACGATGAGAACGGGAGAAGGGGCTCCCGGATGCCCCTCTGGGACAGAGCCAGCTGGGTATATCATGGACTCCTGGAAACAGTGGAACATGATCTGTCTCTCTCAACTGTCTGTAGAGGATTCTGAAGATGTCTGGATATTCGTCGTGTTGGTGTCGGGATTCCTGCTGTTTGGCCTGAGCGGTTACCTGGCGTATCGGAAAATCAACGAGCTTTCGAGGAATATTGGCTCAATCCCGGAGCTCAGGGATGGAATGCATCATGCTGTGAACGCACAAACTCATATAATTGTCAAGATGAGTCGTAAGCTTGGAACTTTGGCTGAGATTCAGGCTCTGGCACAGAAGGTGGAGTGATCAAGGAGAGAGTTGACGGATCAGCACGGATTGGAATAGTTTGATAATGCCATTATTGGACCTGGAGGGTTTGAAGACCAACAAAACTTTAAGGCAGAGAGGAAATTATTTCTGTCTGTACCCAATTCTTATCTGAATCTGGTGCCCTTGAGCCTGTGAGGCTGAAGTGAAAACTCCCCCCTCAGAAGGAATGTGGAATGCTGCCGTCGCTATGGAAACTCTTTCTCCCTATCCCAGCCTGGACGGGACTGTGACCGATGAAGGCTGTGGAACCGTATCTAGGAGTCAATGCGCTCTCTAACCCATTATCTCCCTCCCCTGTCCAAACGGAGGTGTTGAGCGCTGCCCCATGCGGCTGCACGCACTGATGTGAGGAGAGTTCCAACCCTACCTCCCCACCTAGTGGACACTTATGTTATGTAATGTCTGAAGTCTGTGTGCATATCTGTCTGAGGTGTTTTTTTGCATAACAAAGCTGCCCTCCCTGTGGAGGGTATCTCTGAAGCACCTTTTTTCCCCTCCTCCTGACTCTATCCTCATATAAACTCTCTTGATCTATTACGGTAGCGCGACTCGTGTTGCAAATGACCACAGTCACCGATTCTTGTCATATGTCTATGTATGTATGTCTGATCTTGGAATTGTGTGTACTGAAACAGTTGAATTTCCCTCTGGGATGAATAAAGTATTTTAGAATTGAAATTGAATTGAAATTAAATTGAATTGAACTGAATTGAATTCAATTGAATCAGAGTTCCTGAATTCTCCTTTATTGTTCCTTTATCGGGCTGCACAGTGACGCAGTGCTTAGCACTTCTGCCTTGCAGCAAGGAGGTCCTGGATTCACATCCCGGCGTGGGGTCTCGCTGCAAAAAGTCTCCATGTTCTCCCTGTGCCTGTGTGGGTTCCCTCCGGGTACTCCGGATTCTCCCACAGTCCAAAAACTCGAGGGAGATTCTCTGTGAATGAATTAATACCGGAACATTTTTGGTGAATAATAATTCAGGAAGACAACGGGAACAAGGAGTAACATAGTTTACAGTTTTTAAAATAGTTTCCAGCCCAAAACGGAAGAATTAACAGGTGTGAAAGTTTTCACCGATAGCTTATCCACAGGATCAGGATTACATCACAACTCCGCCGCTCCTGGTTTCAGCTCCGCTGAGTGTGACTTCTTCTCTCCTGCATGTGCGGGTCGCTTTGCTGCTGCGAAGCGTTCACACTGGAGAGAGTTTGATGTTGCATTTCAGTCACAGTGTGAACAGCTACACAAAAACTTCAGATTTACTCAAAAAATCGTAATTGAGCATCAAGGCCTGCAGTGTGAACGTAGCCTAACTGTTGGTTTCAGACTGAGCCGTGTTATTGGCTGAGGTTTTTAGCCAAATACGAGAGAACAACTTCACTAAGTTTTTTCATTTTTTCCTAATATTCACATTTATAGCTATCTGTTAAAACGTTGTTAAGAGGCATGAAAAGCTCATTTGTTTTGTACATTTGCTAATGTAAGAGACTGAAGATGTTTTACCACAGCAGCTCATAATTCCTGTTAGAGCATAACTCTATTTCTCTGCACAGAGGCTATTCAGTATCTTACTTTTTTATTGTATTTTACAAAAACACACTTCAAACCTGAACAAAAGTCTCTGTATGCTGCTGTGTTTTCCTTAAAGAGTGGACTTTTCACATCTCTCTGTGGCTGAATGAAAGTACTGGAATAACTAAACAGGTATCTGTATATTTGCAGCTGATGGGAAATAAACTGAGAGCTATACAGTCAGTCTGCACTGTTTGCTATTATAGTGGTTCCACTACGACTGCTGTCTTTCTTTCCAGCTCATTATGCAACGCGTCATTCACAGTCAAAGCCACTGGGACACACAACCTTTGAAATGACAAACGTGTCTCCTGTTTCTTGTTGTTGCACACACTCTCACATGTGCGCCTTTCTTTTTGTGATGTGACAGGAGCGAGTGTTTCTCAGTGTGTCCAATTACATCTTCACTGTCATCTTCGTGGGCGAAATGATGATCAAGGTAACCACAACAGTACACCTACACGTATTTTACTCAGAAGGCGTCTCGTGATCTCACTCATAGGGAATAGAGAGATCGGGATAACTCTTTTTCCAAATATTGAAGCCTCACATTTCTTCAATAATGAATTCATTTTGGGGGGTTTGTGTGGAAAGGTGGTAGCGATGGGTCTGTACTTTGGAGAAGGTGTGTACCTGCAGAGCAGCTGGAACGTCCTAGATGGCTTGCTGGTGTTTGTGTCCCTGGTGGACATCCTGGTCTCCATCGCATCAGCAGGTGGGAACAGAATCCTGGGAATGCTGAGGGTGCTTCGGCTGCTGCGCACCCTGCGGCCACTCAGGTGGGATGATGAGGCAGTTCCTCCTGGATTTTGACTGCACCAATATTCTTGAGCTTGACTCTGCGTGTTTTTTGTCCTGCAGGGTGATAAGTCGGGCTCCAGGTTTAAAACTGGTTGTCGAAACTCTCATCACATCCCTCAGACCAATTGGAAATATTGTTCTCATCTGCTGCGCCTTTTTCATTGTTTTTGGAATTCTGGGAGTGCAGGTAAACAACCATATGTTCTATTTCCTTTTTGTCCTTTGCTGGTTGAAGATAAAACCTTCTTTTCTCCTGGCTCATTAAAAACACACAGTTAACCATTTTTATCCAAAGGGTTTTGTGTTTTCTGCTGAGAGAAAGACTCTGGTCCTGGTAGTTTGAAATAAACGAGGCACAGCTCAGAAATACTCCAGGTAATAAAAAGTGAAAAGGAAAATTGGGAGGAAATGCAAATGAGCTGATTATGCAAGAGAGTCCCTTGAAGTAATTAAAAATACAATGGCTCTACAGAAGGATTGTGCTGAGAATGTATTCTTTAATCGGAATGTGACCTGGATTTTTCTATGATTAGTTTAAATATTTAAATCCATTAATCAATAATAAATGGCAGGAAACCGTCGCCGTTAGTTTTTATGTAATGTTATTACTTTCAAATGGAAGCTATCACTAAGCTCTGTTTTGACATAAATCCTGATTATTTATGACATACCGGTAGTTTTAATCTTTTGGAGAGGGAGCCCGAGCTCCGATTGTTGCCACAGCCACGAGGGTGCGCCCCGTAGCCACAGGCGGCTGTGACTGCTATCCCATAGCTGTGAGAACAGCCAGAGGCTATAGCTAACCCTAACCCACTTCCCGGATGGACTCCTTTATGTTAAAGGTTTTGCGATAGGTCAACACTTAACTGAGAAGCATTGTTTTGGCAGGTTATAAGTGCAATAATTTAAAAATGTGTTCATATTTGATGTTTAACAAATGTCTTTGGTGTACATTGAACTCGTGCTACATCATTACGTTAACGTGGCTGTGCGATGCTCTGCCCGTAGCACAGTAGCTGTGCCCATAGCCACTGTGGCTATAGCCAGTGTGCTATGGGCACAGCATCGCACAGCCACGTTAACGGAATATGATGGTGCACAACGTTGAAATGTTTTAAACATCTTTTAAAGGAAATAATCTTTTTGATGAACTGTTTTTATTAATCTTTCTCATGTGAAGTTATATTAATGTTTTTTGTAACAATTCTGTGCTTAAAGGGCTGTTTGTAAATCCCTATCTGACCTGCTATCGCTTGTTGAAGTGCCTCTGTTTGGAGAAATAGCTTTTACATCCTACTGGATTGATTGTCTAACAGCTTGTCAGAGTGCAGTCAGGAACAAAAGGTTCTGCAACAGTTTTTAAACAGTTATTAAACATTTATTTTGCAAACTTCTTGGAACACTAAAAACAATAGTTTGCAATTGGCAGGAGTCCGGCACTGGCAATCGTTGCTAATGCTATGACCAGTGTTGGGAGTAACGGCGTTTAAATTAGCGGCGTTACTAACGGTGTTCTTTTTTAGGTAACGGAATAATCTAATTAATTACTTTCCCGCCGTTGCAACGCCGTTACCGTTACTAGGGACGGAAGGTTGTGCGTTACTATGTGCTTGTCGAACATTGAGCAACAGTGTGAGGCTTTCTGACCACCACACTTCAGCTGCAGCCAGGGAGAGAGAGGTGTCGGTAACGCACTTACAAACACGATGATGATTGGCCGGGTGGGCGGAGACCCTCAGTGTTCTCACTGTCTGAGTCGCTGCCTGCTGTAGACCCAACAGAGCAGTGATGGTAATAACGCCGTTTAAAATAACCGCGTTAATAAAACATATTTCTTTCAGTAACGAGCAAACTAATTAATTACCGTCTTCTTTTAACAAAACGTTGTTTCTGTTACTGATAAGGAAATGCGTGTGTTAAGCTGCGCAGTGTGTTGAAGCTGTCATCAGCTGATCAGGAGCTAAAGAGGCAGATGTTTTCATCCAAGCGCATCACGGCCATGAAGAACGAGGAAGACGTGATGAATAGTCTACGGCTGCAGGTGTGGATCTGCAGCCGTGCCCTTCTTAGTGTGACAGCGGGACGTCCCGAAGGTCCGCTCACCTGTTCACCGCTTAGACGTCCTGATCTTCTACCTTCCTAGATCATCCAGCTGTAACCTGTTTCTGATCATGTCTTTAGTCCCGCTGTAACACTGATGCATCAGTCTCAAACGTCTTGGAGCTCAGGTGTTATCAGAACTACCTGTGTGTGTTTACCACCCAGCTTCAGCTCTTCTGTAGTTGGGTCTGACCCAAGTTAGTAAATGTAAGTCCTCCATCAGGCTTGTGCCTCTTCTAGTGTCATTTTAAAGGATTTTATTTATTTATTTAACCATTACTAGATTACCAGCAACAGAAATGCTACTAAAACACACAATTATGTGAAGCTGGAAAAATTAGAATACTGTGCAAAATTACATTCATTTCTGTAATTTAACTAGACTGAGAGACCATTTAAAGGCTCGGGAACCTTTACAGGTGTTTCTATTTGCAATTTTAAATTTTAGCTGATTGGGGTCTTGTTAAATATCACACAGTGACCTTTTAATAGTCTAGATTAGTGTAATGCTCCTGTTAGTAGTTTCTCCTGTTACGTGCTTATTTATTTAAATTATTCAGGTTTATAAAAAACATTTGGACATACATGTTATTATGTTCCAGTCATTAGTCATTTATATTTCACTATTGTAGTAATTTATAGTAAATGAAGTAAGTTTAGGTAAGAGGGGAACTCATTTTTCTTGCATTCTTTAATGAAAAAAGTAACTAAGTAGTTATTTTTCTTGGTAATTAGTTACTTTTATAATCTCGTAACTCAGTTATTGACAGTATTGACAAAGTAATCAGTAACTATAACTAATTACTTTTTAAAAGTTACATTCCCAACACTGGCTACGACAGGCTAAAGCAATAGTCCAATGTAGCACATCAACATCAACATAGGTTGAAGGCCGCTAATCACTTAGCTCCAACAAAACAGAAATCCCTTTTCGTTCCCCTCTCTTATCTTCCACAGTTGTTTCGAAGTTAACAGATGGACATTAATGCAATGCAGGTTGAGTTAGCATTCAAGCTAGGTTTGTGTGCTAAGCTGACTGAGAACTGGGTTGCATTCTTGTTGAATTACAGCTTGTTCTCGTGGATACATAAATCTGTGCTCTTGGCTGGTTTTGCTGTAGAGGCCTGGGGAGGGACTTTGGGGAAACAAATTATGAAAGATTACCTACTTTAATAATATAACAGGGTCAGAGGGTCAGATTTGAACATTTTTTTAGTTACTTTAATCAAGTACCCCAGCTTTAAAAGAACTTTACGGAGTTTTGAATTTTTATGCTCGCGATTGCCCCCTCAGGCCAAAAGCGTAACGGCAGCTTCAATAGTAGGCTCGTGCACGAGGCGCGCATGCTGTACATGCACACTCCTTAACGAAAATAACAGCTGAGACAGTCCTGTTGTGTGTGTGTGTGTGTGTGTGTGTGTGTGTGTGTGTGTGTGTGTGTGTGTGTGTGTGTGTGTGTGTGTGTGTGTGTGTGTGTCCCGGAGGACAGAGGACAGGAGAACGTGCAGCTAATTAATTAAATAATTTGGTTCTGTACCTTTCTCTTCTGCTTGAAAAATTGTTCCAAAATGAAAGTTGAACTCACATCTTTTTTATCCGTGAATTCAATGCCGTTCGGCGAGTCTCAAATAAAAATTTGGGCATCTTACTGTAAAAAAAAAATATACCATTAATGTAAAAAAGAAACTCTAAAGAAACTTTGTTGATAATCCAGAATCGAATCCAGGTCTCCTGCGCAAAGGTCCAACATCTTACTAGGTGAGCTACAGCGCCAGTGACATCTTTTGTATCTGTAACATTTATATCCTTGATGGCAGCTGAAACAACGTTCAAAGAACGGTTCGGAGTAAAAAGGCTATATGGTGCTAATTTGCAGGAAATATCTAGAAGAAAGTTCTACAGAAAGTAGCTAAGGGTCCTCAGAAATGTAGCTAGCTTTGTCAATTTGCTTAATACACAATTGGAGTCAGGGAATATCACATACCTGGGAATTAATATCTCTCCCAAGTTAGCAGATCTAACCAAACTTAATTACATCCCACTTTTAAGGAAAGTGGAAGATGATCTTGCAAGATGGAAATCCTTACCAATATCACTCATGGGGAGAGTTGCTACAATTAAAATGATGGTCTTACCCAGAATAAATTACTTATTCTCGATGATCCCAAACAAACCTCCAGCTGACTGGTTTAAATCTCTGGACTCCTCAATTACTAAATTCCTTTGGCAGGATAAACCTCCACGAATTAGCTTAAAAATGCTTCAGAAGACCAAAGACAGAGGAGGACTGGATCTACCCAACTTTTATTATTATTTCTTAGCCAACAGGCTGCAATATATACCAAGATGGTTGCAAGATAACCCACTAGATGAGTCCTGGTTAGATATAGAACAGACACTTTGCAATACGATAGAGCTTTCAGACTTACCATTTATTAGCCCAAGCATAAGAAAACATGAAAGCTTCAAAAGTATTAGTATCAGCACCTCTCTGACAGCATGGTGGGAGTATTTTAAAATGACAGAGTCTTCACTAGTACCATGCAGACGCACACCTATCTGGAACAATCCTGACATTTTGCAAAACAACAAAATGATGAACCTTCCGGACTGGAAAAATAAAGGAATCCTATACCTGGAACACATATGTGAAGGATTGGACTTCATCCCATTTAATCAAATAGTCTCCCAATTTGGAATGGATAAGAATAGCTTTTTAGAATATCACCAAATTAAATCTGTAGTCAAACAAAAATTTAAGCTCAATAAAATAGAATTACAAACACCACCAAGGGTATTAGACTTTTATAATCTCAAACCCCCCAAACTACTGTCTAAAGTATATAAGACACTGTCCAAAATAGACGATAAAATTGCAATCCCTATTGAAAAATGGGAGGTGGATCTATCAGTTAGCTTTGACCAGGGCTTCTGGTCCCAAACTTGTTTAAAAACTTTTAAAATGATCAGACACCCCAATTTACAATTAATTCAGTACAAAATTCTACACAGAGTACACTATACAGGTCATCGGATGTTCAAGATGGGGTTTGTGTCGTCTGACACCTGTACACACTGCACAAACAACATTTCTGACAATTACTTTCATGCACTGTGGTCCTGCCCACCTGTCCAGGAATTTTGGGGTAGAGTATGTGAGGATCTGTCAAAATGTCTGAAATGTCATATCCCAACTTCCCCCTCTCTTTGTTTACTGGGAAACCTGGACGATGTCCCGATTGCAACATCTTTGGTTCACGTGGTTCTGACTGCCATATGCATCGCTAAGAAAACTATCCTCTTGAATTGGAAAAATAGAGAAAGTCTCTGCATTAACCAGTATAGAAATCTTTTGTTAGATCATATTGCACTTGATATAGCCTCTGCTTCCACTTCAGATGAATCTCTCTGGGCTCCTTTGATCGGTTCCATCACATAGCGAGGGTGGGGGGCCATTGATGTTGTCCTGCGGGATGGTGTGGGTGGGGGGGGGTGGGGTCTGAGTTTGGAGTATCCGGATGTTCCCTGGAGGTGAGTTCACTGGGGGTGTCTGGGACTGGGGGGCTGTTGCCCCCCTCTGGAGGTGCTTGGGTTGCCTCGGGGGGTGGACTGCTGGCAGTTGTGAGTGGGGCCCCTTGGGGATCTTGGCGGCGGCCATGGGTCACTGCCTGGTGGCTGCAATACCCCTGGGCGGGTCTGGGTGGGGGCCTGGGGGCTCGGGGTTTGGGGGTGGCCGGCCCCGTGTGGGGATCTGGGCGGGGCCTTGGGGGTTGGGTCCTGACATGTATGCTGCCGGGAAGAAGGCAGGAACACTCAGCAGTGCCTGGCCCGGGTTCGGGGGCATCAGGTAGACCTTGGCTCCTCTGCCGTTCCATCACAGGGGAGGGGGAGGTCCAGGACGGGGAGGACCAAACCTTACCTGGATGTCCCATGTCTTATATATTCTGGAAGTTGTGCAAATGCAGGGGTGGGCATAGATATTCTGCTGGGATGGGGCTGGGTTGGTGCCCTCGGACTCCGTGAGGCTCTGTAATGCTGCTGCTTTGGGCCCTGGCAGGATGGGCTGGGGTCTCCATGCCCTGGGTGGCAGTTTGACAACAGAGGTGCCTATTGGGGCCAGTAGGGGAGCTGGCTCCCTGGAGGGCTAAGCCCAACCAGCCATTCCTCCCCATCCCCGCATATTTCTCTCCTCCTGCTCCCTCACATCATCACACAAACATACACATAGGACCTTGGGGGGTGGGCAAGTCAGGGAGTGCGGGTATGGACCCCATTTCCGCATTCCTGTGGCAACCTGCCCCCCAATTTTATTTGCACCTTAAACACTTCCACTGACGACATTCCACACAAACACACACTTAGGGCCTTGGGAGTAAGCACATTCAACGGCATTTGGCAGGGGGATATTTCAGCCTCCTCCCGAGTGCCGGTGCCCACTTCCAATTTTAAACCGCACTTAGACACTGATGGCTGAGGGTGTAAGTGGGGTGGTGCGGTGGCATCAGCTGGCATATGCCGGATGATGCCCGCACTGCCCACTCACCACAGCCATGGAATACACCTCATGATCACACAACACTATATTGGAGCAGGTGGAGGGAGACTAGGGGTCTTAGCCACCTCTGTTGTTGCTAGGCTTCCTGGGGCTGGAGGCTAGGAGGGAGATCTGGCTGTCTGGTTGGGGTCTGGGGTGGTGGGTTGCTGTGCTCAGCGTTGGGCGGGGGAGCCTGCTCATCAGCACCCCAGCAGAAAGGGTCAAACTCTGGTTACCGGTGATGGTTGTACCCCATGTGCAGCAGTACCGGGACCAGAGTTAATAGGGTGTGTATGGGGAGCATGAGTGAGTGTCCGGCGTGCATTTTTGTAAGTCTTGGGTTGTATGTGCATGTGTGAGCATGAGGGAGGGAGTGTGTGACTGTGTTTGTGTATGACTGTATATGTCAGGTGGGGCCTTTGGGTCCTCCCCTCTCCTGGAACTTCTCTTGATGATATAGATCTCTGTCCCCCCTCCCCCTGCCACACCTGGTGTGGGGGCTTGTGCAATGGTCTGCCTGAGTGTTCGTGGCAACCGGGTCTGGGGGTTTAAGATTTTGGCATCTGCCTGATAGATCCCGGTGGCTGCCTGGTGGGGTCTGGGTCCCTGGGCTCTGCTGGGTCCCCGGCGGGGGTGGTCACCCCTGGGTCCCGGGTCGCTGGGTCCCGGGCTCGGCCGGCTAGGGGGTGGGAGGCTGCGGGCGGGCCTGTGGGCTTGCCGCTGATATCTCCAGGGACTCTGCCGGCTGCTGGTTGTGGCCCCCCGGGGCGATCCTCTGTGCCTCTCGAGGGGGGCGGGGGCCTTTCTGGTTGCAGTCTCCTTGGGGTTCCTGCATTCTGGGGCAACGCCTGGATCTCTGGGACTTGGAGCTGACCCCGTCTCCTGCGCATCTTTGGGGGGCGGATCTGTGGTCCCTCACACTCTCTGTTGGACGCTCCTATAGAGAAACCTTACATAAACAAGCGCGTGTACACACACAGGTGCTCACATGGTGCTCTCAAAAGTATGGGCTTGGGCACGTTCAACACATGTCTTAAGACTATGGGGGGCACTTAATGCATTGTGATTTATTATCGTGATTCTTCAGTTAAGCAATGTTGATTATATATATATATATATATATATATATATTGTTTTTTTTGTTTTTTTTTTCATCAAGTTGACGCAGTGATAGGTAGATCTTGTTGTATTGTTGTTGTGTCCCTTTTTTGTGTCCTTTTTTTTTTTTTTTTGTCTTTTTCTGCAGGTCTAGAAGCAGACTCGTGTTCATTGTTTATTTTTGTGGAACCCCCCCCCCCCCCCCCCCCCCCCTCTCTCTCCACCTTTTCTCTTCCTTTCTCTTTCACCTCTGTCTCCGTGTCTGGTCGGAATTACAAAGCATTCAACAACAATAACAATAAAGTTTTAAGTATCAGGCGTGACATTAAAAGCAAACGCTTTGATGCTCCACCTGAGAATAAATCTGTAAGGCTTGTCACCAGCATTCAGACATCAATTCTGCTTGCTTCACAGCCAGACAGGACACGGTAAAAAAAAAAAAAATGTAGCTAGCTTTGTCACTAGGCGTTAGGAACAGCGACAAAGACTAAAGCTACGGATAGCAAATGCTACGGGCTATGTCTGAGCGTGAAAGCGCATGATGCAGCCTGCTCGACCCGAGCAGCTCTCTTTTTCTGTGATTTTACAGAAAAACCGGCAATCACAGTAAAAATGCCAGGACTCATTCTACAGGACCAGGGCATTGCAGGAGAATGTATGAAGAAGACATTTATTATTTCTATACATGTTTTGGCTGTCAGACTTCCATAATGCCCTTTTAGAGGTGCAGTTAACTGAAAAAGCATTTTTTTAATGATTATTTCTGATAATAATCGTTCACTTTGGATGTTTCTTGCAGGATGTTTCATGCCACACCTCCAATATCTCGCGCTGATAAATAGACAACCCCCCGCTCTGACAGTCAGTGAGCAGGGTTGGTTCCAGGGTTGTTGGTAAAGCGTCCAGAAACGTCTAGGCTAGTAGAAGCTAACTGTTAGCATTAGCAACTTCGCCACACAGCAGAAGCTGCTCCAGGCTGGAATTATTTGTGGAGATTAAACATCCATGTGGCCAAGCAAACGGAGTTAGCGATAGAGTCGTGTTGCTGTTATCCAATCCAAGGCGAGATGTCCAAATATCAGGAAATAAGAGTCCAAATCCTGCCATGCTGAGCTCTCCTCTGATGTGGAGGACTTTTTCTTGCTGATCCAGAAGTTTTTTTTTTTTTGGGGGGGGGGGGGGGGGGGGGGTTGCCCTGAGTATGGCTTTCAAGGTATTCATTCCTACCAGAGACCACGCAAATGTATTAATTAATTGAATTTCCCACACCTCTGATGCTAGTATCAGGGGATATAGGGTCCCAGGAGACCTCAAAATGGTCATAAAATGGGCTTTAAATTAAAGCAGTTAAGAGGTTCTCATCATTTCTTCTAGTTTCCATTCCTGCAAACCACTTTACAAAATAATTTCATGTAATTTTCACACAAGAGATCTTGAAAGCAGCAGCTGAGAATGCACACATCCCAAAAACACATAATGCCTTTAATAATCCCTAATGAGAGCGAAACACGCTGCGGTGCTGTTGTACTTGAGCAGACAGCACCAGATGGTATTTGAAAATCCTGACTGTAATACGAGAGCCTGCAGGCTGACTATTTCACTGTACACCAACACTGCTCTGGTTGTTTTCCTAGTCTTGATGCTTTGTGTGCATTATCTCCAGGTTTCAGTTGCATGTATTTATCTGCACACCACCTGTCTATGTGCAGCTGTTTAAAGGGAAGTTCTTCCACTGCGAAGGGCTGCATGTCAGAAACATCACCAATAAAACCGAGTGTCTGCAGGCAGGTTATCGCTGGGTTCGACGGAAATACAACTTTGACAACCTCGGGCAGGTTTGTCACACACCCACACCCTGTTTCTGACACCTGCTCTCACTGACTGATTGACAACCCTGATTTGTGAGCGTCTCCTCCACACAGGCGCTGATGTCGCTGTTCGTGTTGTCCTGCAAGGACGGCTGGGTGAGCATCATGTATGATGGCCTGGATGCTGTTGGAGTGGACCAGCAGGTGAGGAAACACAAACTGCATTAGGAAAAAGAGCAGCTGGGAGGTAAAAGGAGTACAAATCATCCTGACAGGACATATTTTTTGTATTTTACTGCATTTTTACTGTTTTATGTCCATCTCAGGCACCTTTAAGGTTGTTTGCTTGAATGAGAGAAGTGAAGTGTTTCAGATGAGATGTGAGGAGGAAAAAAACAAGCAAAAACAAAGATGGATAAACAGATGTGACAGTGCTGGCAGTTTCTCTGCTGACTCAGGACTTAGATTGTCTTCTTGTTTCTACATCTCCACCCTCCCCTCGTTATTCACTCTTTGTTGCTCCTGTTCCACCTTTTCATCCTCACACACACTCCCTCCCTTTGTTCTTCCCTCCCCTCTCTGTCTCTGTCTCTCTCTGCAGCCAATACGAAACAACAATCCTTGGATGCTGCTGTTCTTCATCTCGTTCCTCCTTATTGTCAGCTTTTTTGTGCTCAACATGTTCGTGGGCGTGGTGGTGGAAAACTTCCACAAGTGTCGTCAGCAGCAGGAGGAGGAGGAGGCTCGGCTGAGGGAGGAGAAACGGCAGAAGCGATTGGAAAAAAGGCGGAGAAGTGAGAAAACATTGAGGGTGGTGGGCGGGGACGACAGTTTGCAGCCAGAAGTAAAATTGTGTTTGGCACTTGCAGAAAATGTTACGCCAGAACTATGACCCTTAATGTGCTGCTAGAGCCTCTGACACCCTGTCAGGAGGAAGTTCAGTATATCAGATATTTGTTTCGTTTCAAATACAAGAACATTAATCTCAGAGTCAAGGAATACTGGCTTCTCTTTTATTATTTTATAAATTTTCTAACTGTATTTTTTTTATTTCTCAGCCCTGCTCTTGCCATCAGCTCCATCTGTGTTTGAGGAATTTATTGGTTAAACTATTTCTTTCAGTCCGTGCACCTATTTCCTCCTTTGAAGTTTGAAACAAGCATTGAAATTGACATTTTTTTAAATTCTCTGATATGAACTATCCATGAAAGAAATGGGAAAAAAAGACAATGTGCCAAATAAATGCAAACTGCTCCTAAAAACCTTGGGAATGTGAATGCTGTCATAAAGAGACAAAGGCAAACTCTCAGGGTGAGATTTTCATTCCAAAGGAATTTAGAAAAAGTTGGAGCTTCAGGCTCGCCAGTGTGGGCGACGGTGGCACAGGAGTTAAGTGCTCGCCCCGTAATCTGAAGGTTGCAGGTTCGAGCCCCGCTCAGTCTGTCGCTGTCGTTGTGTCCTTGGGCAAGACACTTTACCCACGCTGCCTGCTGGTGGTGGTTGGAGAGACCGGTGGCGCCAGTGCTTGGCAGCCTCGCCTATGTCAGTGCGCCCCAGGGCAGCTGTAGCTACATCGTAGCTCATCCTCACCAGCGTGTGAATGTGTGTGTGAATGGGTGAATGACTGATTGTGTTGTAAAGCGCCTTGGGGGGTTCCAGGACTCTAGGAGGTGCTATATAAAATACAGGCTATTTACCATTTACCATTTAAACCTCTGATCATTTTCAGTAGTCCATTTCTTTATGAACCTAGCTTCATGCACAAAGACTTATGATAAAAATGTGTCCTATAAAGAACAAGAGTACTAATATATTTGAAAGTTTTTGCTGTAGCAGCACATTAAGAGGTCTCGGATTTCAACTCGTTATTGTTAAGGTCTGTAGAAAGCTCCTTTCTTGTCCGAATCCTCTCCAGGTAGTGGATATCCTGGTTCTTTACTTCCAGGAGAGGAAGACTGGTTCATGTTACACTTACAAAAATGATCGTTATTCAGTAGAGTGGTCTTAAATTGTTTTTTATAGAAAAAGCATAGAAAATGGTACAAACAAGACAATGTGATGACCCCCTGATCATTAGTAAAAAGGCCATGAAGTCCTGTCAAGATCCGTATTTATCTTAAATGAACAAGATGTGAAAATCATAGGTGATGCTGTATCTAGTTTGCATAAAGAACAGACACTCCAGCATACTTTCTGTTCAGGACAGGTAAACCATGGAGACATGATCTTATGCTCCAGATCAAGTAAGTTATCCGACAGATGTCAATAACCGAAAGAGATCTGTTGGCAGAAATGCAGCCTAGCATCAATATTTGTTTTATTTGCACAAAATGGCTCTGAAGTTTAGAGATTTACAGAAAACCCACGTAGTTCTGTCTGAGCATTTGACCCTTAAATATGTGTTATATTTTTCCTGTTTGTCACACAAAATATTTTAGATCAGGAAACACATTTGTTATCATGAGATCTTGCTGTTTCGTCAGTATGAACTCGGTAAAAACTGCTGCCACCTAGCAGTCAGAGTTTGAATTGCACCACACAAAAGAAACAGTCGAGGTTTGCTTGAAAATTCTGAATTAAAAAGTCATCTCAGTATCACAACATAAAATTTGTAGCGATATTCCAGAGTATCAATGTTTTCTTACATTCCTGTTTATTAAAGAGACAAAACTATCCAGATCATTCAAAACATTCAGTTTTTCTCACCAATATTTTGAATGTGTCAGGTTCTTTGGCAGATCTGAAGCGTGAGTGAGAGGATCTGTTGCCTAGACGCGGAGTGATGGAAATAACCAGCGTGATTATCTCCTGAAAGTTTAGATTGAGGGTTTAGAGGGCTGGTAAGCCTGGAGACTCGATACAAAGTCTGGTGAGAATGATGACTGAGTAATGAACGAAACGCCTACACTTCCTTAAGTAGTGTCGGCGTGATGACGTCAGCCGCCACGTTGGTGGCAGGAATGCTGGGACAGAAGTCAGCGGGATGAGTTCGTGACAGGACCCCCCCCCCCTCTAGGGACGGCTCCCGAAGTCCCAGGACGGCGGGCCCAGAAGTCAGTCAGCAGGGTAGAGTCGACAAACGAGCTCGTGGGCTCCCAAGAGCGTTCCTCAGGCCCGTACCCCTCCCAGTCCACGAGGTACTGCCAACCTCGTCCCCGGCGGCAAGCGTCCAGAATCCTGCGGACCGTGTAGGTGCGATCCGCCTCAACCCCGCGGGGAGGAGGCACCCGGGCCGGCGGAGGGTGGAGAGGAGAGGAGACCACCGGCTTCAGCTGGGAGACGTGAAAGACCGGGTGGATCCGGAGAGCAGCCGGGAGGCGCAGACGGTAGGTGACTGGATTGATGACCCTGAGGACAGGGAACAGACCCAGGAAGCGAGGAGTGAGCTTCCGGGAGCCAGCCGGCATCGTCAGGTTAGCGGAGGAGAGCCACACCTGGTCGCCAGACCGGAAGACGGGGCCAGGCCAGTGGCGGTGGCGATGCTGACGGGCATATTCCGTGTTGGCCCGGGTGATGGCCACACAGGCCCGGATCCAGGTAAGCCGACAGCGGCGGACCAGCATCTGGGCAGCAGGGACCTCCACCTCGGGCACCTGATGGTCAAACAGAGGAGGCTGGTACCCATAACAGGTCTCGAAGGGAGACAGACTCGTGGCAGAGGAGGTCTGGAGTTTGTGTGACAGCTCCGCCCACAGGAGAAAGCGGGGCCAGGTGGTCGGCTGGGACGAAGCGAAGCAGCGCAGGTAGCATCCAAGCTGCTGGTTAGCTCTCTCCGTCTGACCATTTGTCTGTGGATGGTACCCAGAGGACAGGCTGGTGGAAGCACCGACCAGGCGACAGAACGCTTTCCAGAAGCGTGAGACGAACTGGGGTCCTCGGTCGGAAACCACATCCTGAGGGAAACCATGGAGCCGCACCACCTGTTCTAGGAGCAGTTTGGCCGTCCTTTTGGCAGTGGGGAGGCCGGCCAGGGCCACTAAGTGCACCGCCTTGGAGAAACGGTCCGTGATAGTCAATATGGTGTCCAGGTGGTCGACCGCCGGCGGTCTCGTGACAAAGTCCAGCCCGATGTGTGACCACGGCCGCTTGGGCACAGGGAGAGGCCGTAACTCTCCAGCGCCGGGTCGGTTGGAGGACTTAGAGCGAGCACACACATCACATGCCGCGGTGAACTCGCGGACGTCCTTCCTCATGGACGGCCACCAGAGAGCCCGACAGAGGAACTGTATGGGCTTGTCCTTGATGTCCCACGAGCCGTGAACAATGCCCCCACGTGAGTGCCTCTTGTCGGCAGGAGGCGGGAACTTAGAGACGGTTCGGTGGAGTCTCCGGCGGCGCCGGATCGCCAGGAAGTGCTGCCCGTATGGACTGCTCCAACAGCCATTGGAGGGAGGCCAGGAAGCGTTGAGTCGGTAGAATGGTCCGAGGCTCCGGGGGGCCGGCATCTGGTGCGAAAAGCCGAGAGAGAGCATCCGCCTTGAGGTTCTTGGAGCCGGGCCGGTAGGCGATATGGAAGTGGTACGGCTCGACAAAGAGGGCCCACCAAGCCTGACGAGGGTTGAGTTGGCGGGCAGACTGTAGATGAATAAGATTCTGGTGGTCGGTCCAGATCAGAAAGGGATCGGTGGTCCCCAGGAGCCACTGCCTCCATTCCTCCAGAGCCCATTTTATTGCCAGCAGCTCTTTGTCGCCGACCCGGTAGTTCTGCTGTGTGGGGGAAAACTTCCGGGAGAAGTAGGCACATGGGTGGAGCTTAGAGTCTGGACCCCGTTGCGAGAGAACGGCCCCCGCTCCCACATCAGAGGCGTCCACCTCCACGACGAAGGGCCGGGTCTGGTCCGGGTGGAGGAGGATGGGTTCTTTAGTGTAACGTCCAACCAGCTCATGGAAAGCACGGACAGCCTCTGGAGTAAGGCGAAAAGGGTGAGGCTGATTGGTGGTTTTGGTGAGTGAGGTCAGTGGCACTGCAAGGGAACTGAAGTTGCGTATCCATATAAACATTTTGAGTTATATGGATTTTACACAACATGTTGCACAACCAACCCACGACAGAGGACACACCCTGGACTTGGTCATCACGTATGGTCTGTCCACCGGTGTGTCCTCTGTCGTGGATTTAGCGATCTCAGATCATTTCTGTGTGTTTTTTAGCATTACCAGCATAATTCAGCAGGAGACCTCTGTGAGAACTGTAATGAAACGCCATCTAACCCCTGAAGTGGCTGCTGGTTTTCTGGAAACTTTTAAAAAGATCCCTCCTATTAATTCAAATGCCCCCTGTGATTTTATCTTCAATGATTTTAACAGCAGACTTAAATCTACTCTGGATTTGCTCGCTCCACCTAAGATTAAAAAGCTACAGCCAAAACCGGCTTCCCCTTGGAACAATGAAAACTTAAAAATGTTGAAAAGATCTTGCAGGGCGGCAGAGAGAAAATGGAGGAAATATGAGAACACAATTAATAAACAAATATACACTGAATTATTAAAATCATACAACAAAGCTGTTAGAAATTCCAGAAATAATTACTTTTCTAAAATCATCTCGGAACACAAAAATAATCCCAAAATTTTGCTTTCTACAGTCACAAATATTTTGGGTCGTGAATTTAGTTCTCTCCAGAAAACCCCCTCGGATGCTCTCTGTGAGGAGTTTGCAGCCCACTTCAGAGGGAAGGTAGACACCATCAGACGTAACATTTTTTCCTCCCAATGTCATGCTGCTCCCGATCAATCTGAGAGTGTGTGTCTACCTGAGGAAACACTGGACAGTTTTGTCTTGGTTGAAGTTGAG